GCAAATGAAAATGTCTTCATCAGACAACTCGACTTCAGTGGACTTAAGCTTGTTGGCGAAGAAAGAGACAGGAGGAATATTGGGAACATTGAAGTGAGACAGGATAAAATCACGGCGTGAGTCAGGATCACACACGTGGCTCACCATCTACTGGGAGGTCAAGGATATCATGGATATCATACTTGGTCATTGGGATAAATTTTCTTTTGAACTAAAATTTAGATGAAAGCACGTCAAACCTACTAGCAAGCCACTTCACTAACCTAAGGGGAACCTCAGTCCTAACAAAGTTTAAGAGACATCCCATGCCATATGTCTGGATGACATTCTGATACCTAGGAGACATTCCAGCAACAACACGAGAGAAAAACTTCCCAGAATATCTAGTGAAAGTGGCACAGTTGGGGAAATCAGAAGATCGTTTCTGCCTCTACAAAACAACAAAAAGAGAGACAGAAAATGAAAAACATAGAATAGAACCGAAAACTAGTAAAACTAAGAAAATACACAAGGAAGAAAACATTAATACATTCAGATTACTACAGTACCTTAATAAAAATACACAACTAACGCACAAACAACACAACTATAGAACCAAGTCTAGGAACTAATCCCATTCCTCCTAGAAGCAGATGATAGTTTCCTCTTTAAGCATTTTACTTTCTGAAATGACAAAAAACACAAAAGTTACCTAACAGAAAAAGTCAAATTAACAAAAGAAAGAAAGAACATAAAAGACAAAATACAACATACTTGATTGAGATAGAACTTCAAAAGAGCCTTGTCGAACCCTCCTTCGTCTCGAGATAGATCCTGCAAATAAAAAAGAAATAAAACAGATAAAAAAATTAAATAAAAAATAACAAAATAACAAAATAAACAATAAAGAAGAGAAACATAAATAAGTAACTACCGGAGACATAGGATAAGAACCATCTTCTGCAAAATCATTAGGCACAAAAGCTTCACCAACTAAATCTGCACTCTCTAATGATGATACTAATGGAACATCCTGATGACACACTTTTCGTAGCCTACCCATTTTAATTAACCTGTAAACGAATAATTTTGGTGAAACCACAATTACACTGGAACTACAATCAAATTACACTGTAAAAATCCATTAAAATTACATTGGAATTAAATGGGTAAATTACACTGAAAAGTACACTGTAAATACAATCAAATAACACTGCAAAAATCTCACTCAAATCACACAGTGAGACTAGGGCAAATTACACTGCAAATTACACTGGAAAATACACTGTAATTACACTGGAATTGCACTGGTAATAGGTAAAATTACACTGGAATTACACTTTAGTTACACTGGAACACTTGGGTAAAATTACACTACAATTACACTGGAATTACACTGTAGTTACACTGGAAATAGCACTGCAAAATGGATAAAAATTACACTGGAATTACACTGTAGTTACACTGGAAGTAGCACTGGAATTACACTATAATTACAATTGAAATTGCACTAGAACTAATGGGTAAAAGTTACACTGGAATTACACAGTAAAACTGACATAAAGTTACAATGACATTCTGGGAAAATTACACTGTAATTACAGTCAAAAATCACCCTTAGAAGCAATACAACACTGGAAGTCTATGACAACACTGAAAATGACTGACCAAACAATTGACAACACTGAAAAGGGCTGAGCAAAAATTACACTAAAATTAAACTTAAAATTCATTCCTGGTAGAAGTCAAACATGGAACAGATGGGAACTACACCTCACAACAACAAATCAGGAGCCAAATTTCATTGGAATACATAAAGAGCTTGAGCAGGAACATTAACAGCTAGCATAAGGGCATGAGCAGGAAACATGCAGAAGCATCAGGGAGCATCGCAGCATGAACAGGAAAAGAGCTGGGCATCTACCAGTACACCTACGACACCCCGCTCATCTACCAGTACACCTAAGACATCTACACGAACATGAACACGAATCCCACTCACCTACAGGAACATGAGAAGCTACAGGTACAAGAGCACCTACAGATCGGCCTCTCACCTACGGAAACATGAGCACCTACACGAACATCTAAAGAAATCCACACGCTGCATCTAAACAGACAAAAGGGGGAACACAACAACCACAAGCCGCCCTCTCACCTACAAAAAATCCGCACACTCCAACTACACAGACAAAAGGGGAACCACAACAATCAGAAACCCTAGCAATCACACCTACCAGCGGCTGCACGAGATGCGTGAGAGGTCGGCATGAACTGACC